CCGGTTTAATAATGAAATGACCAGGTCCATTTGGAAAGCTTCCCGAAGCAGCTACCAATGCGACCTTAAAGGAACTGCGGACATTGAAAATGAATGAATTAATATTTGTAGTGGCCCATTTTCACATCGTTAGACTTGTTCGTTGTAACTGTGAATATGAACAGAGTAGGTCTGCAGAATAATCAACACTAATAGTCAGTCAGTGGATCAGGTTAGATGACCACTCATCTTTAGTAATCGCTGACGCAGAAGCACCAAGTAGTGCTCAAAACATTCCCGATGCTGTGCCAGAATTTTAGCTTCGACAGAAGATAATCCGAATATGGAGCAGAGTGTTTCCACGCATTTGTCTTAGGATATTCTTAATCAAATATGGAGTCTTCGGTCGGTCAGTTGGGTAAGCAGTAGCTGTTTCGACTTTCTTTCAGAAAGAATTCGCAAGATGTTCCCAGACCATCACAGCTGTGACTTCTTAACGTGGAGAAGCAGCGGCTGTACATCAAAGTTTCTTCGAATTTCGAGACGTGTGGATTAAGTGATGCCTCTCAGAAAGCCCATTTCAACCGACTGTAGCCGGGATAAAATTTTTCCTTCATGGATCCTGACTCACGATTGCACGTAAGCATCGGACAAAAATCGACCTGAACACGGAGAGCTTAGTCTTAAAACTTACCTCTGTTTTAGTCAAAATAGTTCATACAGAGCGCAGCTGACCATTCAGTTCGCTGGTAATTCTATTCCTCACATTTCCCAAAACCAATAAACATGAAAACGAAGTAAACGAGCCTTTCTACCGGTCCTACTGCTTCTCATAATGAGAAGTTCTTCTGAACACAGTAATGTGCAGAAAAACGAGAAAGCACTAAGCTTTCAGATGACATACGTGCATATGCACGCCAGCAACGTCGCACTCGGCTGCGAACCTTCCTAGGAAGCACTGTAAATCGGTTTCAGAAAGTGACAACAAAAACTAGGTCACATGCAAACAAAATTCTCGTCTCAACATTTCCTACACCGCACCTTCCAATACTCATCGCCTT